GGAATGATGGGAATAATGGGAATGGTGGGAATGGGAATGGTGGGAATGGGAATTGGGAATGGGAATGGTGGGAATGGGAATTGGGAATGGGAATTGGGAATGGGAATAATGGGAATGGGGGAATTTGGGATGGGAATAATGGGAAGAATGGGAATAATTGGAATTGGGGGATGGGGATAATGGGAATAATGGGAATGGGAATGGTGGGAATGGGAATGGGGATAATGGGGATAATGGGAATAATGGGAATTGGGATAATGGGAAGAATGGGAATGGGAATTGGGGGATGGGAAGAATGGGAATAATGGGAATGGGAATGGGGATAATGGGAATAATGGGAGTGGGGATAATGGGGATATTGGGAATGGGAATTGGGGGATGGGAATAGGAATGGGGAAATGGGAATGGGAATGGGAATAGTGGGAATGGGAATTGGGAATGGGAATTGGGAATGGGAATAATGGGGATAATGGGAATGGGAATTGGGGAACGGGAATGGGGATAATGGGGATAATGGGAATAATGGGAATAATGGGAATAATGGGAACGGAGATAATGGGAATAATGGGAATGGGAATTCCCATGGGATGGGAATTGGGGATGGGAATGGTGGGAATGGGAATGGGGAAATGGGAATGGGGAATGGGAATGGGAATAATGGGAATGGGGGAATTTGGGATGGGAAAAATGGGAAGAATGGGAATAATGGGAATTGGGGATAATGGGAATAATGGGAATAATGGGAATGGGAATGGTGGGAACGGGAATGGGGATAATGGGGATAATGGGAATAATGGGAATAATGGGAAGAATGGGGATAATGGGAATTGGGGGATGGGAAGAATGGGAATAATGGGAATGGGAACGGAGATAATGGGAATAATGGGAATAATGGGAATTCCCATGGGATGGGAATTGGGGATGGGAATAATGGGAATGGGAATGGGGAAATGGGAATGGGAATGGTGGGAATGGGAATGAGAATGGGAATTGGGGAATGGGAATTGGGGGATGGGAATAGGAATAGGGAAATGGGAATGGGAATGGGAATGGTGGGAATGGGAATTGGGAATGGGAATTGGGAATGGGAATAATGGGGATAATGGGAATGGGAATTGGGGGATGGGAATTGGGGATGGGAATAATGGGAATGGGGGAATGGGAATGGGAATGGGGGAATTTGGGATGGGAAAAATGGGAAGAATGGGAATAATTGGAATTGGGGAATGGGGATAATGGGAATGGGAATTGGGGAATGGGAATTGGCAGAATGTTGGGAATGGGGGAATGTGGGAATGCGGATGGGGGAATGGGAATGGGAATTGGGAATGGGAATTGGGATGGGAAAAAATTCCCAGAAAATTCCCAGAAAATTCCCAGAAAACTCCCAAAAAATCCCCCAAAATTCTCACACAATCCCCACAAAATTCCCAAAAAGCACAAAAAATTCTCAAAAAAAATTCAAAAAAATTCCCCTTAAAAAAATCCCCAAAAAAATCTTCAGAAAAATCCCACAAAAATATAAAAAAAATCCCATAAAATTCCCCAAAAATCCTAAAAAAATCCCCCCAAATTCCCCCAAATCTTCACAAAAATCCCACAAAATTCCCAAAAAATCCTCCAAAATGCCACAAAACTCCCCCAAAACTCCTGCAAAATTCCCACCAAATCCCAAAAAAATCTTCCAGAAACCCCCCAAAAAAACTCAAAAAAATCCCCCCCAAAAATCTCCAATATTCCCAGAAAATCCAAAAGAAATCCTCCAAAATTTCCAGAAATCCCACAAAAATTCAAAAAATATCCTCAAAAAACCCCACAAAATTCCCCCCCAAGAATCCCCCCAAAATTCCCAAAACATCCCCAAAATATCCTCAAAAAACCTCAAAAAAATCCCCCAAAATTTCCCAAAAAATCCTTTAAAAATCCCCTAAAAACCCTCAAAAAATTCCCAAAAAATCCTCAATAAATCCCAAAAAAATCTCCAAAAAATTCCCCAAAAATCCCCCAAAATCCTCAAAAAATCCTCAAAAAAATCCTGAAATAACCTCCAAGAATTCCTAAAAAATCCTCAATAAATCCCAAAAAAATCCCAAAAAATCCTTAAAAAATCCCCCCCAAAATACCCAAAAAATCCCCCAAAATCCACAAAAAGTCCTCCAAAAATCCCCCAAAAATCCTAAAAAAAAGCTCCAAAAATTCCCAAAAAAATCCCCCTAAAATCCTCAAAAAAATCCCCTTAAAATACCCTTAAAATCCCTAAAAAATCCCACAACATCCTCAAAAAAATCCCTCCAAAAATTCCCCAAAATCCTCAAAAAAATCCTCAAAAATTCCCAAAAAATCCTCAATAAATCCCAAAGAAATCCTCAAATGATTCCCCAAAAATCTTCAAAAAATCCTTGAAAATTCCCCAAAAAATCCCCCAAAATCCTCAAAAAATCCCCAATAAATCTCAAAAAAAAATCTCCAAAAATTCCTAAAAAATCCTCAATAAATCCCCCAAAAATCCCAAAAAATCCTTAAAAAATCCCCCCAAAATTCCCCAAAAATCCACAAAAAATCCACAAAAAATCCCCTCAAAATCCTCAAAAAATTTCCAAAAAATCCCCAAGAAATCCCAAAAAAATCCCCAAAAATCCTAAAAAAATTCCCCAAAAATCCCCCAAAAAAATCCTAAAAAAAATCCTAATAACCCCCAAATCCCCAGGAATCCCCAGAATTCCCAGAATTCCCACCTGGGCTGTGGCTGTGGCTGCTGGAGGTGGAAGAGGAGGACAGGGACAATTTTCCCCATGTGTTGAGCCTCCCACATCCCACAAATCTCCCCAAAACTCCCCAAAAAACTCCCAAAAAATCCCCCAAAATTCTCACACAATCCCCACAAAATTCCCAAAAAGCACAAAAAATTCTCAAAAAAAATTCAAAAAAATTCCCCTTAAAAAAATCCCCAAAAAAATCTTCAGAAAAATCCCACAAAAATATAAAAAAAATCCCATAAAATTCCCCAAAAATCCTAAAAAAATCCCCCCAAATTCCCCCAAATCTTCACAAAAATCCCACAAAATTCCCAAAAAATCCTCCAAAATGCCACAAAACTCCCCCAAAACTCCTGCAAAATTCCCACCAAATCCCAAAAAAATCTTCCAGAAACCCCCCAAAAAAACTCAAAAAAATCCCCCCCAAAAATCTCCAATATTCCCAGAAAATCCAAAAGAAATCCTCCAAAATTTCCAGAAATCCCACAAAAATTCAAAAAATATCCTCAAAAAACCCCACAAAATTCCCCCCCAAGAATCCCCCCAAAATTCCCAAAACATCCCCAAAATATCCTCAAAAAACCTCAAAAAAATCCCCCAAAATTTCCCAAAAAATCCTTTAAAAATCCCCTAAAAACCCTCAAAAAATTCCCAAAAAATCCTCAATAAATCCCAAAAAAATCTCCAAAAAATTCCCCAAAAATCCCCCAAAATCCTCAAAAAATCCTCAAAAAAATCCTGAAATAACCTCCAAGAATTCCTAAAAAATCCTCAATAAATCCCAAAAAAATCCCAAAAAATCCTTAAAAAATCCCCCCCAAAATACCCAAAAAATCCCCCAAAATCCACAAAAAGTCCTCCAAAAATCCCCCAAAAATCCTAAAAAAAAGCTCCAAAAATTCCCAAAAAAATCCCCCTAAAATCCTCAAAAAAATCCCCTTAAAATACCCTTAAAATCCCTAAAAAATCCCACAACATCCTCAAAAAAATCCCTCCAAAAATCCCCAAAATCCTCAAAAAGGCCTCAAAAAATTCCCAAAAAATCCCCAATAAATCTCAAAAAAAACCCCCAAAAATCCTCAAAAAGTCCCAAAAAAATTCCCAAAAAATCCTCAATAAATCTCAAAAAAAAATCTCCAAAAATTCCTAAAAAATCCTCAATAAATCCCCCAAAAATCCCAAAAAATCCTTAAAAAATCCTCAAAAAACCCTCAAACGATTCCCAAGAAATCCTCAAAAAATCCACCAAAAATTCCCCAAAAATGCCCCAAAATCCACAAAAAATCCACAAAAAATTCTCAATAAATCCTCAAAAAATCCCCAATAAATCCCAAAAAATCCCCAAATTTTCCAGAAATTTCCTGGAATTCCCGGAATTCCCACCTGGGCTGTGGCTGTGGCTGCTGGAGGTTGAAGAGGAGGGCGGGGACGATTTTCTCCATGTGCTGAGCCTCCCACATCCCCAAAAACTCCCAATAAATCCCCAAAAAAATCCCTAAAAATCCCTAAAAAATCCTCAAAAAAACCCCAAAAAATCCCCTTAAAATCCCCCCAAAAATCCCTGAAAAATTCCCAAAAAATTCCTAAAAAACCCCACAAAATTTACCAAAAAACCCTCAAAAAAATCCTGAAAAGATTCACCAAATATTCTCAATAAATCCCAAAAAAATAAAAAAAAAATTTAAAAAAAATTCCCAAAAAATCCCCCAAAATCCACAAAAAATCCTCAATAAATCCCCCAAAAATCCTCAATAAATCCCAAAAAAATCCACAAAAAATCCACAAAAAATTCTCAATAAATCCAAAAAAAATCCCCAATAAATCCCAAAAAATCCCCAAAATTTCCAGAATTTTCCTGGAATTCCCGGAATTCCCACCTGGGCTGTGGCTGTGGCTGCTGGAGGTTGAAGAGGAGGGCGGGGACGATTTTCTCCATGTGCTGAGCCTCCCACATCCCACAAAACTCCCCAGAACTCCCCAAAAAACTCAAAAAAACCCCTAAAAAATCCTCAAAAAGGCCTCAAAAAATTCCCAAAAAATCCCCAATAAATCTCAAAAAAAACCCCCAAAAATCCTCAAAAAGTCCCAAAAAAATTCCCAAAAAATCCTCAATAAATCTCAAAAAAAATCTCAAAAAAATTCCCCAAAAATCCTCAATAAATCTCAAAAAAATCCCCAATAAATCCCAAAAAATCCCCAAATTTTCCAGAAATTTCCTGGAATTCCCGGAATTCCCACCTGGGCTGTGGCTGTGGCTGCTGGAGGTTGAAGAGGAGGGCGGGGACGATTTTCTCCATGTGCTGAGGTTCCCAGATGTTGGCCTGGAGCTCGTCCTGCACCGTCTTGCGCACGACGCCCTGGAGCCCCCGGATCCCCGACATCCGGATCCTGCCGGAGCCAAAATCCCGGGATCCCGCGGCCGGATTTGGATCCGGGAATTCTGGGAAATCTGGGAATTCCTAAATCCTTTCCCAATCCCAAAAAATCCCTGGATTTCCTGCTCCAATCCATGGAATGAGCCGGAAAATCTTCCCATAATTCCCAGTTCTGGCTGGAATTCTGGGAATTCCTTGGAAAACCTGGATAAGGATGTGCTGAGGGATTGGGAATTCTGGGAATTCTCCATCTTTTCCTGATCCCAAATCCTTTCCCGATCCCAAAATCCCGGGATTTCCTGCTCCAATCCACGGAATCAGACGGAAAATCTTCCCATAATTCCCAGTTTGGGCTGGAATTCTGGGAATTCCTTGGAAAACCTGGGTGAGGATGTGCTGAGGGATCGGGAATTCTGGGAATTCTCCATTTTTTCCTCATCCCAAATCCTTTCCCGATCCCAAAATCCTGGGATTTCCTGCTCCGATCCATGGAATCAGATGGAAAATTTCCCTGGAATTCCCAGCTCTGGCCAGAATTCACGGAATTCCATGGAAAAGTCTGGACAGGGATGTGCTGAGGGATCGGGAATTCTGGGAATTCTGGGAATTCTGGGAATCGTCCCTCCTTTCCCAATCCCAAAATCCCAACCCTGCTCCAATCCATGGAATCAGACGGAAAATTTCCCTGGAATTTCCAGCTCTGGCCAGAATTCCTGGAATTCCATGGAAAATTCTGGACAGGGATGTGCTGAGGGATCAGGAATTCTGGGAATTCTGGGAATTCTCCATCTTTTCCTGATCCCAAATCCTTTCCCTATCCCAAAATCCTGGGATTTCCTGCTCTGATCCATGGAATCAGACGGAAAATCTCCCTGGAATTCCCAGCTCTAGATAGAATTCCCGGAATTCCATGGAAAATTCTGGACAGGGATGTGCTCATGGACTTGGTTTGACTCTGGGAGTTCTGGGAATTCTGGGAAATCTGGGAATTCCTAAATCCTTTCCCAATCCCAAAAATCCCCTGGATTTCCTGCTCCGATCCATGGAATGAGCCGGAAAATCTTCCCATAATTCCCAGTTCGGGCTGGAATTCTGGGAATTCCTTGAAAAACCTGGATAAGGATGTGCTGAGGGATCGGGAATTCTGGGAATTCTCCATCTTTTCCTGATCCCAAATCCTTTCCCGATCCCAAAATCCCCGGATTTCCTGCTCCGATCCACGGAATCAGCTGGAACCTGCTCCGATCCACGGAATCAGCTGGAAAATTTCCCCAGAATTCCCATTTTTTCCCTGTTTTTCACTCTTTTTTTCCCTGATTTCCCCCCCTTTTTTTTTCCCCACTGACTTTTCCTTTTTTTTCCCATTTTCCCCCTTTTTTCCTCCTTTTCCTCCCTTTTTTTTTCCAGTTCCTTTTCCCTTTTTTCCCCATTTCCCCCTTTTCCCCATTTCCTGCATTTTCCCACGGTTTTCCCTTTTTTTCCCCATTTTTTCCCATTTCTTCCCATTCTTTTCCTGCCATTTTCCATCCGTTTTCCAGCCTTTTCCCGACCATTTTCCCGGCTTTTTTTCCCGCCATTTCCTGCCCGTTTCCCGTTGTTTTCCCGGGAATTTTCCCATTGTTTTCCCAGCTTTTTTTCCATTGTTTTCCAATTGTTTTCCCATTGTTTTCTGTCATTTTCCCAGTTGCTTTCCCATTGTTTTCCCATGGTTTTCCAGCCATTTCCCGGCTGTTTTCCCATTGTTTTCCCACTGTTTTCCCAGACGTTTTCCCATTGTTTTCCAGCCGTTTTCTGGCTGTTTTATCAGACATTTTCCCATTGTTTTCTGCCTGTTTTCCCCGTTGTTTTCCCAGCTGTTTTCCAGCTGTTTTTCAGCTGTTTTCCCATTGTTCCCCATTGTTTTCCCATTGTTCCCCATTGTTTCCCATTGTTTCCCATTGTTCCCCATTGTTTCCCATTGTTTCCCATTGTTCCCCATTGTTTCCTGGCTGTTTCCCCATTGTTTCCCTTTGTTTCCCCATTGTTTCCCATTGTTTCCCATTGTTTCCCATAGTTCCCCCATTGTTTCCCATTGTTTTCCATTGTTTCCCATTGTTTCCCATTGTTTCCCATTGTTCCCCATTGTTCCCCGTTGTTTTCCCATTGTTTCCCATTGTTCCCCATTGTTTTCCCATTGTTTCCCATTGTTTCCCATTGTTCCCCATTGTTTCCCATTGTTTCCCATTGTTCCCCATTGTTTCCCATTGTTTCCCGTTGTTCCCCATTGTTTCCCATTGTTCCCCCATTGTTTCCCATTGTTCCCCATTGTTCCCCATTGTTTCCCATTGTTCCCCCATTGTTTCCCATTGTTTCCCATTGTTCCCCATTGTTTCCCATTGTTCCCCCATTGTTTCCCATTGTTCCCCCATTGTTTCCCATTGTTTTCCCTATAGTTTTCCCATTGTTCCCCCATTGTTTCCCATTGTTCCCCCATTGTTTCCCATTGTTTTCCCATTGTTTCCCCATTGTTTCCCATTGTTTCCCATTGTTCCCCATTGTTTCCCATTGTTTCCCCATTGTTCCCCCATTGTTCCCCATTGTTTCCCATTGTTTTCCCATTGTTTCCCCATTGTTCCCCCATTGTTCCTCCATTGTTCCCCCATTGTTCCCCATTGTTTCCCATTGTTCCCCATTGTTTCTCATTGTTTCCCATTGTTTCCCATTGTTCCCCGTTGTTTCCCATTGTTTCCCATTGTTCCCCATTATTCCCCCATTGTTCCCCATTATTCCCCCATTGTTTCCCCATTGTTCCCCATTGTTTCCTGGCTGTTTCCCATTGTTTCCCCATTGTTCCCCATTGTTCCCCATTGTTTCCCATTGTTTCCCATTGTTTCCCATTGTTTCTCATTGTTTCCCATTGTTCCCCATTGTTCCCATTGTTTCCCCATTGTTTCCCATTGTTTCCCATTGTTTCCCATTGTTTCCCATTGTTCCCCATTGTTTCCCATTGTTTCCCCATTGTTTCCCATTGTTTCCCATTGTTTCCCATTGTTCCCCATTGTTCCCCGTTGTTTTCCCATTGTTTCCCATTGTTCCCCATTGTTTTCCCATTGTTTCCCCATTGTTTCCCATTGTTCCCCATTGTTTCCCATTGTTCCTTGTTGTTTCCCATTGTTCCCCATTGTTTCCCCATTGTTTCCCATTGTTTCCCCATTGTTTCCCATTGTTTCCCATTGTTTCCCATTGTTCCCCATTGTTTCCCATTGTTCCCCATTGTTTCCCAGCAGTTTCCCATTATTTCCCCATTGTTCCCCATTGTTCCCCATTGTTTCCCATTGTTCCCCATTGTTCCCCATTGTTCCCCCACTGTTCCCCATTGTTCCCCCATTGTTCCCCCATTGTTTCCCATTGTTTTCCCGTTGTTTTCCCATTGTTTTCCCATTGTTTTCCCGGCGGTTTTCCCGGCTCGGACCTGGCGCGCACGTCGGGGTCGGCGTGGCCGGAGTGGCACATCTCGCTGAAGCGCGACACGAAGAAGTCGTAGCTGCGGTGGTACGAGGGCGTGTCCTCCTCAATGTTGGCAAACTTCACAAACTGAACGGGAAAACCGGGGAAAAAAAAAGCTGGGAAAAACACCCGGAATCGGGAATTCCAAGGGTTCTTTTCCTGGGAAAAAAATAGCTGGGAAAATCGCCCGGAATTCTGCTCTAAATTGGGAATTTTGAGGGGTTTTTTTGGAAAAGATTGCTGGGAAAATCGCCCCAAAATCTCCTGGAATTCTGCCTGAAATCCCGCCAGGAATTGGGAATTTTGAGGAATTTTTTGGGAAATGATTGCCAGGAAAATTGTCCCAAAAATCATCTGGAATTCCACCCTGAATTGGGAATTTTGAGGGTTTTTTGGGGAAAATTCGCTGGAAAAATTGTCCAAAAAGTTGTCAAAAAAATCGTCAGGAATTTCACCCTGAATTGGGAATTTTGAGGGTTTTTTTGGGAAAAATTGCTGGAAAAATTGTCCCAAAAATATCTTGGAATTCTACCCTAAAATGGGAATTTTGAGGGGGTTTTTTGGAAAAAAATTGTCCCAAAATCTCCCGGAATTCCACCCTAAATTGGGAATTTTGGGTCAGCAGATCCCAGGGATTGAGCTGCTCGGCTTTCCCAGCCAGTTTTCCTTGGATTTCCACCACTTTTCCCAAAATTCCCACAGCATTCCCAGCTCATTTTCCTTGGAATTCTGCCACTTTCTTGGAATATTCCCTGATCTCCAGCCAATTTTCCTTGGAATTCCGCCACTTTTCCCAAAAATCCCAGTTTTTCCAGCCGGTTTTCCTTGGAATTCTGCCACTTTTCCCAAAAATCCCACAGATTTCCCACCCAATTTTCCTTGGAATTCCGACACTTTTCCCAGAAATCCCTCAGATTTCCCACCCAATTTCCCTTGGAATTCTGCCTTTTTTCCCAAAATTCCCATTTTTTCCAGCCGGTTTTCCTTGGAATTCTGCCACTTCCCTGGAATATTCCCAGCTCTCCAGCCAATTTCCCTTGGATTTCCACCACTTTTCCCAAAAACCCCACAGTTTTTCCAGTCGGTTTTCCTTGGAATTCCACAACTTTTCCCAAAATTCCCAGTTTTTCCAGCCAGTTTTCCTTGGAATTCCGCCACTTTTCCCAAAATTCCCAGAGCTTTCCCAGCCAGTTTTCCTTGGAATTCCGCCACTTTTCCCAAAATTCCCAGAGCTTTCCCAGCCCATTTTCCTTGGAATTCCCCAACTTTCCTGGAATACTCCCAGCTTTCCTACCCCATTTCCCTTGGAATTCCACCCTTTCCCCCCAAAACCCCCTCCATCCCTTCATTCCCCCAAATAAAACCCCCCCTTAAAAAAAAAACAACCCCATTTTGCCTCAGTTTCCCCTGGGAATTCCGGGGTGGGGATTTTTCCCCCGGGATGGGAATTTTTTCCCGGGATTTTTCCCGGCACTCACGGAGTTGGTTCCCAGGATTTGGAGGTCGGGCTTTTCCGACTCCAGGAGTTTGGCCACCATGGTGAGGAAGCTCTGGACGAAGAGGTTGATGCTCTGGCAGTGGCAGGCCAGCAGCAGCTGGTCCAGCGCCTCCATGGCCACGCACACCGAGCTGAGACCCCGCGGGGCGGGAGGGAAAAACAGCCCGGATCGCACCCGGAATTGTGCGGGAACGATCAGGGAATGGTGAGGGAATGTGAGGGAATTTTTTTGGGAATTATCGGGGAAATATTGGGGAATTATTAGGGAATTAATGGGGAAATAATCGAGAATTATTGGGGAAATATTGGGGGAATAATCAGGAATTATTGGGGAAGTACCCTGGAATTATTGGGGAATTATTGGGGAATTATTGGGGAATTATTGGGGAATTATGGGGGAATTATTGGGGAATTATTTGGGAATTATCAAGAATTATTGGGGAATTATTGGGGAATTTTTGGAGAATTACTGGGGTATTATCAGGGAATTATTGGGGAAATAATCAAGAATTATTGGGGAATTATTGTGGAATTGTCGGGGAATTATTGGGAAATTATCAGGGAATTAATCTGGAATTATTGGGGAATTATTCAGGAAATAATCAGGAATTATTGGGGAATTAACCTGGAATTATTGGGAATTATTGGGGAATTATTGGGAAATTATTGGGGAATTATTTGGGAATTATCGGGAATTATCGGGGAATTATTGGAGAATTACTGGGGAATTATCAGGGAATTATTGGGGAAATAATCTAGAATTATTGGGAAATTATTTGGGAAATAATCAGGAATTATTGGGGAATTATTGGGGAAATAATCAAGAATTATTGGGGAATTTTTGTGGAATTGTCGGGGAATTATTTGGGAAATTATTGGGGAATTAATCTGGAATTATCGGGGAATTATTCGGGAAATAATCAGGAATTATTGGGGAATTATTGGGGAATTAACCCAGAATTACTGGGGAATTGTTTGGGAATTATTGGGGAATTATTGAGAAATTATTGGGGAAATACTGAAGAGTTTTTGAGGAAAAAATTGGGAATTATTGGGGAATTATCGGGGAATTATTGAGGAAATAATCAGGAATTCTTGGGGAATTATTGGGGAATTAACCCAGAATTATTGGGGAATTGTTTGGGAATTATTGGGGAATTCTTGGGGAATTCTTGGGGAATTATTTGGGAATAATTGGGAAAATATTCTGGAATTAACCTGGAATTATTGGGGAATTATTGGGGAATTATTGGGGAATTATTGGGGAAATATTGGGGAATTATTAGGGAATTGTTGGGGAAATATTCTGGAATTAACCTGGAATTATTGGGGAATTGTTTGGGAAATAATCAGGAATTATTGGGGAATTATTGGGAATTATTGGGGAATTATTAGAGAAATAATTGGGAATTATTGGGGAATTGTTTGGGAATTACTGGGGAAACAATCAGGAATTATTGGGGAATTATCTGGGAATGATTTGGGAATTATTTGGGAATTATCCTGGAATTATTGGGGAACTATCAGGGAATTATTGGGGAATTATTGGGGAATTATTCAGGAATTAGCCTGGAATTATTCAGGAATTATTCAGGAATTATTTGGGAAATACTTGGGAATTCTTGGGAAATTAACCCAGAATTCTTGGGGAATTCTTGGGGAATTATTTGGGAAATATTCTGGAATTAACCTGGAATTATTGGGGAATTATTTGGGAAAAATTGTGGAATTTTTCTGGAATTAACCTGGAATGATTGGGAAATTATCCTGAAATTATTGGGAATTTATTGGGAAATAATCTGGAATTATTCAGGAATTATTTGGGAATTTTTCTGGAATTATTAGGGAAATTATTAGGGAAATTATTAGGGAAATATTCCGGAATTATTCTGGAATTAGCGAAGAAATTCCCCTGGGAAAAGGGGGAGAAATTTGGGAATTTCCTTGGGAAAAGGGAGAAGAAATGGGAATTGGGAAGGAATTCCCTGGGAAAAGAGGAAATTGGGAAGGAATTTTCTGGGAAAAGGGGGAAAAATTTTGGGGTTTGGGAAGGAATTTCCCGGGAAAAAAAAAGGGAAAAATTTGGGAATGGAGAAGGAATTCCCCGGGAAAAGAGGGAAGAATTTGGGCTGGAATTCCTTGGGAATATTGGAAGGAATTTGGGAAGGAATTCCCAGGGGGAAAAAAGGGAGGAATTTGGGATTTGGGATGGAATTTCCCTGGGAAAATGGGGGGAAAAAACACAGGGATTTGGGACAGAATTCCCTGGAAAAAGGGTGAGAAATTTGGGGATTGAGAAGGAATTCCTTGGGAAAATGGGGAGGAATTTGGGAAGGAATTTTGTGGGAAATGGGTGAGAAATTTGGGATTTGGGATGGAATTTCCCTGGGAAAATGGGGGGAAAATTTGGGAAGGATTTGGGAAGGAAATATTTGGGATATGGATCCGGGATGGGATCCGGGATGGGGATCCAGGATGGGGATCCGGGATGGGGATCCGGGATGGGGATCTGGGATCAGGATCTGGGATCAGGATCCAGGATCAGGATCTGGGATATGGATCTGGGATGGGATCCGGGATGGGGATCCGGGATGGGGATCTGGGATGGGGATCTGGGATCAGGATCCAGGATCAGGGATATGGATCTGGGATGGGATCTGGGATGGGGATCCGGGATGGGGATCCAGGATCAGGATCTGGGATGGGGATCTAGGAAGGGATCTGGGATGGGATCTGGGATGGGATCTGGGATGGGGATCTGGGATGGGATCTGGGACGGGGATCTGGGATGGGATCTGGGATCAGGATCTGGGATCAGGATCTGGGATGGGGATCCAGTGGGATGGGGATCCGGGATCTGGGACATGGATCTGGGATATGGATCCAGGATGGGGATCCGGGATCAGGATCTGGGATGGGGACCCAGGATATGGATCCACTATGGAGATCTGGAATGGGGATCCGGTGGGATGGGGATCCAGGATGGGGATCTGGGATGGGGATCCGGGATATGGATCTGGGATGGGGATCCAGTGGGATGGAGATCTGGGATGGGGATCCGGTGGGATGGGGATCCAGGATGGGGATCCGGGATGTGGATCTGGAATGGGGATCTGGGATGGGGATCCGGGACAGGGATGGGGATCTGGGATGTGGATCCGGGATTTGGTATCCAGGATTCGGGATTCGGGATGCGGACCCGTATCGGTGTTGGTCAACGTCGCGGATCCCAGGATAGGGATCTGGGATGGGGACTGGGGATATGGATCTGGGATATGGATCTGGTGGGATCGGGATCCGGGATGTGGATCCGGGATCAGGATCCGGGACCTGGATCCGGGATGTGGATCCGGGATGGGGATCCAGGATGTGGATCCGGGACAGGGATCAGGGATCCCAGATTTGGGATCTGGTGGGATTCAGGATCTGGGATCCGGGATGTGGATCCGGTAAGACGGGGATCCGGGATCCGGGATCCGGTGGGATCCGGGATTGGGGATTTGGGATGCGGACCCGTATCGGTGCCGGCCGACGTCGCGGATCAGCCGCTCGGACAGGTAGGCTCCGATGCGATCCAGTTTCTCCGGAGCCGAGAGCGCGTAGAACGTCAGCTTCTCCATGTTGCTCTTCACCAGCCCATCCTGCCCGGCATTCCCGGGAATTCAGCGGGAAAAGGGATCGGATCCAGCCCGGCATTCCCAGGAATTCAGCGGGAAAAGGGATCAGATCCGGCCCGGCATTCCCGGAAATTCAGCGGGAAAAGGGATTGGATCCTGCCCGGCATTCCCGGGAATTCACCGGGAAAAGGGATCGGATCCGGCCCGGCATTCCCGGGAATTCAGCGGGAAAAGGGATCAAATCCAGCCCGGCATTCCCGGGAATTCAGCGGGAAAAGGGATCGGATCCAGCCCGGCATTCCCGGGAATTCAGCGGGAAAAGGGATCGGATCCTGCCCGGCATTCCCGGGAATTCAGTGGGAAAATTGCAGCCCCGGGGGAGGATCCGAGGTGTTCCCAAGGAATAATCCCGGGAATGATCCTGGGGTGTTCCCATGGAATGATCCCGGTTATTCCCAGTTATTCCCATGGAACAATCCCCGATATTTCTGGTTATTCCCATGGAATGATCCCAAATATTCCCAGATATTCCCATGGAATGATCCCAGGTATTCCCATGGAATGATCCCAGATATTCCCATGGAATGATCCCAGGTATTCCCATGGAATGATCCCAGGTATTCCCAGCCCATGGAATGATCCCCAAATATTCCCAGTTATTCTCATGGAACAACCCCAGATATTCCCCGTTATTCCCATGGAATCATCCCAGTTATTCCCATGGAACGATTCCCACTATTCCCAGTTATTCCCATGGAATGATCCCAAATATTCCCAGTTATTCCCATGGAATGATCCCCGATATTCCCAGTTATTCCCATGGAATGATCCCAGAAATCACCATGGAATCATGCCAGATATTCCCACAGAATCATCCCAGTTATTCCCATGGAATGATCCCAAATATTCCCAGTTATCCCCATGGAACGATCCCGGTTATTCCTTGGAATTATCCCAGATATCACCATGGAATCATGCCAGATATTCCCACAGAATCATCCCACATATTCCCATGGAATGATCCCCGATATTCCCAGATATTCCCATGGGGAATGATCCCCGATATTCCCAGATATTCCCATGGAATCATCCCAGCTATCCCGGGGAGTTCCCATGGAATGATCCCAAATATTCCCAGATATTCCCATGGAACAATCCCAGATATTCCCAGATATTCCCATGGAATTATTCCAGATATTCCCAGATATTCCCATGGAATTATCCCAGATTTTCCCAGGTGTTCCCATGGAATGATCCCAAATGTTCCCAAATATTCCCATGGAATGATCCCGGGTATTCCCAGTTATTCCCATGGAATGATCCCAGACGTTCCCATGGAATGATCCCAAATATTCCCAGATATTCCCATGGAATGATCCCAAATATTCCCAGATATTCCCATGAAATGATCCCAAATATTCCCAGATATTCCCATGGAACAATCCCAGATATTCCCAGACATTCCCATGGAATTATCCCAAATATTCCCATGGAATTCCCATGGAATGACACCGGGTATTCCCAGATATTCCCATGGAATGATCCCAGATATTCCCGGATATTCCCATGGAATGATCCCAAATGTTCCCAGTTATTCCATGGAATGATCCCCAAATATTCCCAGATATTCCCATGGAACGATCCCAGATATTCCCGGTTATTCCCATGGAATCATCCCAGCCATCCCAGTTATTCCCATGGAATGATTCCCGCTATTCCAGGATATTCCCATGGAGTGATCCCGGATATTCCCAGCCCATGGAATGATCCCCAAATATTCCCAGTTATCACCATGGAATGATCCCAGACATTCCCAGATATTCCCATGGAATCATCCGAGTTATTCCCATGGAACGATCCCAGATATCACCATGGAACAACCCCAGACATTCCCAGACGTTCCCATGGAATGATCCCAAATATTCCCAGATATTCCCATGGAATGATCCCAAATATTCCCAGATATTCCCATGAAATGATCCCAAATATTCCCAGATATTCCCATGGAACAATCCCAGATATTCCCAGACATTCCCATGGAATTATCCCAAATATTCCCATGGAATTCCCATGGAATGACACCGGGTATTCCCAGATATTCCCATGGAATGATCCCAGATATTCCCGGATATTCCCATGGAATGATCCCAAATGTTCCCAGTTATTCCATGGAATGATCCCCAAATATTCCCAGATATTCCCATGGAACGATCCCAGATATTCCCGGTTATTCCCATGGAATCATCCCAGCCATCCCAGTTATTCCCATGGAATGATTCCCGCTATTCCAGGATATTCCCATGGAGTGATCCCGGATATTCCCAGCCCATGGAATGATCCCCAAATATTCCCAGTTATCACCATGGAATGATCCCAGACATTCCCAGATATTCCCATGGAATCATCCCAGCCATCCCAATTATTCCCATGGAACGATTCCCGCTATTCCCAGATATTCCCATGGAATGATCCCAAATATTCCCAGATATTCCCATGGAACAATCCCAGATATTCCCAGACATTCCCATGGAATTATCCCAAATATTCCCATGGAATTCCCATGGAATGACACCGGGTAATTCCCGGATATTCCCATAGAACAACCCCAGATATTCCCGGTTATTCCCATGGAATCATCCCAGCCATCCCAATTATTCCCATGGAATGATTCCCGCTATTCCCAGATATTCCCATGGAATGATCCCAAATATTCCCGGATATTCCCATGGAATGATCCCGGGGATTCCCAGCCCATGGAATTCCAACCCAAATCCCAAATTCCCAATCCCAGATCTCAAATCCCAAATCCCCAAATCCCTGAACTCCAAACTCCCAAATTTCCCAGTCCGGAATCCCAAATTCCAGAAGCCCGAAGCAGAAATTCGCAGAAAATCCCCAAAATTCCTCAAATCCCAAAATTCCGACTCCAAATCCCAAATTTCCCAATCCCAAATCTCAAATTCCAGAAATTCCCAGGAAATCCCCAAAATTCCCCAAAATCCCAAAACCCCAAATCCCAAATTTCCTGAATCCCAAAGCCAAAATTCCCAGAAAATCCAAAAAAAATTCCCAAAAATTCCCAGCAAATCCAAAAAAAATTCCCAAAAAATCCCTAAAAATGCCCAGAAAATCCCCCAAAATTCCCAAAAAATCCCAAAAATTCCCCAAATCCCAAATTCCCCAAATCCCAAATTCCCAACCCCCCCAAAATTCCCAACCCCCCAAAATTCCCAACCCCCGCTGAGGAATTCCCAGGAAAATCCCCTCCCTCCCCGCCCTTTTCCCATGGGAATTTTCGGGCTGGGCCATTCCCAGAATTCCCAGAATTCCCAGAAAATCCTCGGGAATCACCTCGGGATCCTCGGGGAAGATGTTGTCCACCAGCCGCTTGTAGCGGGGCCGGAGCGCTCCGCAACAGCCGCAAACCCCTGGAAAAACGGGAAAAATCCGGGATCAGGAAATCCCAAAGAATTCCCCCCCCCAAAAATCCCAAAATATTCCCCAAAAATTCCCCAAAAAATCCCACGGAATTCCCAAAAAATTCCCAAAGAATTCCAAAAAAATCCCCAAAGAATTCCCAAAGAATTCCCAAAAAATTCCAAAAAAATTCCAAAGAACTCCCAAAGAATGCCGAAAAAAATTCCCCAAAAATTCCCCAAAAATTCCCCAAAAAATTCCCCAAAAAATCCCAAAGAATTCCCCAAAAATTCCCAAAGATTTCCTGAAGAATTCCCAAAGAATTCCCAAAAAATCCCAAAGAATTCCCAAAGAATTCCCAAAAATTCCCCAAAAATTCCAAAAAAGTTCCCAAAAAATTACAAAAAAAATCCCCAAAAATTCCAAAAAAATTCCCCAAAAAATCCCAAAGAATTCCCACAAAATTCCCAAAGAACTCCCAAAGAATTCCCAAAGAATTCCACAAAAAATTCCCACAAAATTCCCAAAGAATTCCCAAAGAATTCCCAAAAAACTCCCACAAAATTCCCAAAAAATTCCCCAAAAATTCCAAAGAATTCCCAAAGAATTCCCCAAAAATTCCAAAAAAATTCCCCAAAAATTCCCAAAGAATTCCCAAAGAATTCCCAAAGAACTCCCAAAAAATTCCCAAAAAATTCCCCAAAAAATCCCCAAAAATCCCCCAAAATTCCCAAAGAATTCCCCAAAAAATTCCCAAAGAACTCCCAAAGAATTCCCAAAAATTCCCGAAGAATTCCCCCAAAAAATCCCAAAGAATTCCCCAAAAATTCCCAAAGATTTCCTGAAGAATTCCCAAAGAATTCCCAAAGAATCCCCCCAAAATTCCCAAAAATTCCCAAAGAATTCCCAAAGAATTCCCAGGGATCCACAGAGGCCTCGGAGCCGGGAAAATCCCGAAATCCCCGAATTTCCCGCCGGGAATTCCACGGGGAAACGACCGGAGGGAGGAGGAGCCGGAATTCCCGGATTTTCCTGGATTTTTTTGGGAATTTTTTTGGGGAGGGGTTTTAAAGGAGGGATTTGGGGGGGGGAGGAATTCCCAAAAAAAATTTGGGGATTTTTGGGATGGGATCGGGAAAAATTTGGGGGAAAAATCGGGAAAAATTGGGATAAAGCCTTGAAAAAATGGGAAAAATCCGTAAAAAATGGGATAATTCCTGGAAAATTGGGAAAAATCCTGGAAAAATTGGGATAAAGCCTTGAAAAAATGAGGAAAATGCATAAAAAATGGGATAATTCCTGGAAAATTGGGAGAAGTCCTGGAAAATTGGGAGAAATCCTGGAAATCTGGGAAAAATCAGGAAAAAATTGGGATAAAGCCTTAAAAAAATGGGAAAAATCAGTAAAAAATGGGATAAATCCATTAAAAAATGGGGATAAATCCTGGAAAATTGGGAGAAATCAGGGAAAATTGGGAAAAATCCTGGAAAATTGGGATAAAGCCTTAAAAAAATGGGAGAAATCCATAAAAAAATGGGATCATTCCTGGAAAATTGGGAAAAATCCTGGAAAATTGGGAGAAATCAGGAAAAAATTGGGATAAAGCCTTGAAAAAATGGGGAAAATCCATAAAAATCCGGGATAAGGCTGGAAAATCGGGATAAATCCAGGAAAATCCGGGATAAATCCAGGAAAACCGGGATAAATCCTTAAAAAACCGGGATAAATCCAGGAAAACCGGGATAAATCCAGGGAAAACCGGGATAAAGGCTCGAAAATCGGGATAAATCCAGGAAAAATCGGGATAAAGGCTCGAAAATCGGGATAAAACCAGGGAAAAACCGGGATAAATCCTTAAAAAATCGGGATAAATCCAGGAAAATCCGGGATAAATCCAGGAAAACCGGGATAAATCCAGGGAAAACCGGGATAAATCCAGGAAAACCGGGATAAAGGCTGGAAAAACCAGGATAAAGGCTCGAAAATCGGGATAAATCCAGGAAAAACCGGGATAAATCCAGGGAAAACCGGGATAAATCCAGGGAAAACCGGGATAAATCCTTAAAAAACTGGGATAAATCCAGGAAAAACCTGGAGAAATCCAGGAAAAATGGGGATAAAGGCTCGAAAATCGGGATAAATCCTGGAAAAATCGGGATAAATCCAGGGAAAATCGGGATAAATCCTTAAAAAATCGGGATAAATCCAGGGAAAATCGGGATAAATCCAGGGAAAATCGGGATAAATCCTTAAAAACCCGGGATAAATCCAGGAAAACCCGGGATAAATCCAGGAAAAATCGGGATAAATCCAGGGAAAACCGGGATAAATCCAGGAAAAACCGGGATAAATCCTTAAAAAACCGGGATAAATCCAGGAAAAATGGGATAAATCCTGGAAAAAACCGGGATAAATCCAGGAAAAATGGGGATAAAGGCTCGAAAATCGGGATAAATCCTGGAAAAATCGGGATAAATCCAGGGAAAATGGGGATAAATCCAGGAAAAATCGGGATAAAGGCTCAAAAATCGGGATAAATCCAGGGAAAACCGGGATAAATCCTTAAAAAACCGGGATAAATCCAGGAAAATCCGGGATAAAGGCTCGAAAATCGGGATAAATCCAGGAAAAATGGGATAAATACAGGAAAAATCGGGATAAATCCTGGAAAAACCGGGATAAATCCAGGAAAACCGGGATAAATCCTTAAAAAACCGGGATAAAGGCTCAAAAATCGGGATAAATCCAGGGAAAACCTGGATAAATCCAGGAAAAATCGGGATAAATCCAGGAAAAACCGGGATAAATCCAGGGAAAACCGGGATAAATCCCCACAATTCACTTCCCAAGGTCGGAGCCAGCAATTCCCGCCAGAATTCCCAACAATTCCCCCTTTCCCGACCCCGTT